AGGCGGCGGCCGCTCTGGCAGCAGCCATGCCAGGGGCTGGAGGGGCCAAATCTGAAGCCAGAGGCAACGGCCCTCTGCCTGGAGGAGGAGGGCTCATGGAGGAGATGAGTGCCCTGTTAGCAAGGAGGTAGCGACACATCATATATTACTCTTCGATTCAGTACGTCTCAAAATAGGCACTTGAGTCATATGAATGAATTTCAGATCTTGTTTCATATACTACAGAAAAGTGAAACTTGACACAGTTGCCATACAGTAGATTTAGCAAACCCCAATGTTGGTCGCAATGGATTTTGTTGTGCCACCTGAAGAATAAGTTCATGTACTCATCACTCTCACTATTCCTCAGTATTATGAGATGATATGTAGTAAAATCGTAATTTAAATGCACTTTGTTGCTGACAGAGAAGTATCACTGTAAGATCTAGAGAAATCTAAGGAATTTAGGTTTTAAAAATGTGGAGTTCAGGAGGAATTGTGTGGTCTGTGCTTTATGATATTAACATTAAACATGATGATATGTTTTTAAAAATAGCAACTGTTTTTCAGAAATAATTCTGGACTCTGTCTTACAGGAGAAGAATTGCAGAGAAGGGCTCATCACCTGAACCTGACCAGAGATCAGTAAGTACCATTAGATCCTGATGGTAAGATGATGTCATGGGGTAGGACTGGATAAGTCTGACTTCTTCCTACTCCATTCAAGCATGTACTAGGTGTAAGCAAATTGATATTGGATTAGCATTTGTTGGATATGTGTAAAATTGTGTGTTGACATATCAACTGTCTTTACATGCTTGAAATTATAAATCAAATCAAAAATCTAATTTGACACTTTCTAGCACCTAAGAACCTAGTTATTAGGGAAGATTTAGAACGCAATGAATTTATTCCCTGACAGGTGTTTATTAGGGCTATAGAAAGTTTTACTTTGATGACAAGAACCAATGTCCAAAAGAAATAATTTTCAACTTGCGTCAGTAATAAAGTATCATTTAACATTTATGCTGATCTGAAATGGGTTTAGACACAGGCCCTGATGATATTCTCTTTTAAAATGTATTGGTAAAAGTGAACTTTTTTTTTTTTTAAATCTTTGGAATAAAATCATACATTTTAGCTGAACTATTGTATACTCCTTTTGTAGGAAGCCAGCCAATCCACTAGTAAGTATGTAATAAAAAAAAGCCTTGTGGCACTTTTCAGGACCAGGGTTACAAAGTGCTTTACAGCCACAAAGGCTTATAAAATATTTGCTTAAATGCATAAAAACATGCATACATATACTTTGTATACATGCAGCAAACACAAGCAGGAAAAAAGCATAATTAAAAAGCCCATGTGAATAAGTTTTAAGAAGAGATTTAAAATGCTTTATAGAGTCTGTTGAGCTAACCGCCAGGGGGGGACAAGCAGCCAGTTTGGAAAAACACCAATCACCACGAGACCTAAACTTGGAGCAAGGCGCAACCAGGAACCCTTGTTTTGATGTCCTGAGAGGCCTGGAGGACCTCTAAGGGATCAGCAACTCACTCTTGTATAGTGGAGCCAAACTGTGTATTGCCTTAAAAGTTAACAAAAGGATTTAAAAATCAATTCTAAATTTAAAAGTAAGTCAATATGAAGCCAGCGTTGGGGTGATATGAGAGCGCTGTGGAGTTTTTGTTAGTAAACAAGCAGCGGAGGTTTGTATTAAAGCGGCAGTATGTAACTTTTAACCAAATATTTCTGTTGTACAAATATGCTCCTCTTAATGTGGAGAGGTGTTGTTGAAGCCTCCTGTGACCCTGCAGTGCAAAGATATTCGCTTCTAAATGTTTTGATTGATTCTCATTTAAGGACAAATATCAGGGACAAAGATCTGGGCAGATTGTAGTACAGCATAGTGGAGGGGTGAGAGGGAGTGCTGGGTGGAGCAGCATGAATTGATTTGGAGTTTCATGACTGTGCTTCCTTCAGTTACATACTATAGCTTTAATTGTAGGTGTATACAGAACTTTTGGCATTTTGGTAATTCTGGAGCACTCAGGTGTGTGTCTACATGATTTTGAGAAAAAGGACATCATCCATGACCTCAGAGAAACAGTTGTCACTGCTCATCAACCTTGGAGGTTTTAAGGCCCTCTCCAAACAATATGAAATTTACCATTCTACAGTGAGAAACACTGTTTACAAATGAAGAGCCTTCAGGACAGTTGCCATCTTCCCAGAAGTGGGTGCCCCGGCTCAAGGTATGAAATATCAAGAAAAACAAAAGCTACATCGTGTGACCTACAGGGCTTTGTAAGCACTCTGTTTTTGTTCATGATTGAATTTAATTGATAGACGTTCTTGTTATTGAATAAGTCGGAATAATTAAAGCCTACAATCTCATCACAGATGATCTCATAAAGAAAAATCTGAGGTTTCTTTTAATTTAGCTGTAGGATTCAAAGTTATGAACTATAGTTGAAAGGTATTGATGCTTTGGAAACGTATGCAGTTGATTGTTTACCTCTTTAAGAACAAGAAAATTTACACTACACTACATGAATGCAGAGCATGTGCAGTCAATTTAATAGAATATTATAATACACTGAGGTGTAGGACAGGTGGTCAGACAAGAAAATTGATTTTAAGACCAGATGTGTAGATCAAATAATCCATTAAATGTGGTGATGATCAGCCGGAGCCTTAAATTCAAGGCCAACACATCTTGATCAAAATGTTGTGTACCTATGTTTCTGTAAAGCTATACTGTTGCTGGATATTAGCTTTGCATGCCTTTTTATGTCCTTGGGGAAAGTTTAATAATTAATACAGGCATGTAACATTTTTCAAATGTATACAGTCTACATGTGTACCTACAACTGGTGTGTATGCCCAGTATACAGTGGTGGAAGAAGTACTCAGATCCTTAAGTCAGAGTAGCAATAGTGTAAAAATACTCTGTTACAAGTTAAAGTCCTGCATTCAAAATGTTACTTAAGTAGAAATACAAAAGTATTAGCATCAAAATATACTTAAAGTACTAAAAGTAAAAGTACTCGCATTATGCAGAACGACGTATTTATAATATATTATTGGACTATGATGCATTAATGCACATTTTATTATATTTTATATTACTGCACATACAGCTCCCATGTAACATACATTCTCTTATAATATTCTTATATATTTTTATTATATCTCTTCATTTGCTGCTTTAAAGTGCCTTAGATTTTGTGTTACACATTCATCTACTTTATATTTCATTTGTATTGTGTGGCATTCATGTGGACGGCAAAGTAAGAATTTCATTGTACAGGAAAACATGTTTCCGTACTGTGCATATGACAATAAACACTTTGACTTTATTGTGTATATCACAATGTTGCAGCTGTTAAAGGAGGAGCTAGTTTTAACGAGCTTATAATGTGAAGTACTGCTGGGTAGTTTGTGAATTTTTTTGCCTTAGATCAATAAAATCTTATGATTGTGCTGTATCTTCCTTATTAATCTGATTCTGAAAAGAAACTGGTGACTAAAGTTATAAAATAAATGTAGAGAAGTAAAAAGTACAATATTTGACTCTAAAATGTAGGTAATTATAAAGTAAAGATACCTCAAAATTGTACTTAAGTACAGTACTTTGGTAAATGTACCCAACAACCTTATGGCTTGCAATGGAAACATCCTTTGATATGTCTAAGTATGACCTTAGAGGAGAGAAGGAGCACATTTTTAACAAGTTTTGTGTGTGTGAGAGATCGTTTTACTCCTCCTCCTAGTGCACATTTCCACCCACACACACACAGACACACACAAACATAAGAGCTCCTCTGGAACACGTGCCAGCCAGTCAGCCTTCTCACTAAGGCAGGAACAAGCACTCCTGTATGCTGAAGAACAGCTGCTCTTCCTCGTCTTCTCACAGGTGGCTCTGGGCTTGCTCCCCTGTCCTCATTAATGACACAAGTGGCCATTTTTCTCCCTATTTTTATAATCTCTTGGAGACTGCATCACAGTAGCTGGTAGTAAGCTCACATTGCATTGTGTTTGTTGATTCAGAGGTGTGGTTAAGAACATCATGACATGGTGAGTCACAGTACAGGCTGTACTGTGCCTTCCAATGATGGCATTTCCCAGTGTCCTGCATATTTTAGAGACTGGTGATCATGTTTGGAACAGGACATAACTGGTAATGTAGCACAGAGTGATGACATAGAAATAATGGCATGTTCCTTTTGCCATCACAGCACGTTCTCTGTGCTCTAATTTAATTGCAAACACTGATGCATAGTTCACTGTGTTCCCATTGGCAAGTCCTCATTTAACACTGTGCTCATGACTGCCACTCACGTGACTTTTACTTGCAAACGTTAGGTAATGAAATCATTCAGCTCTGTAATTACCTTGGATGCGATTCTGGAAAACTGTAAGGTCATAAATGGGCCAATAAAATTCTACTGCATGGCTTTCATTTTATACAGCAATACAGCTGGGCTTTAACTGTAAATAGCCATTCAGGTTAAACATCAAAGTGAAAGAACCATGATGTAAAACACATTATGGAGTGGATGGAGACTTAAGTCCCAACAACAGCTGGACATTTTAACCATTCACCACACTTGCAGGGCTGGTATACTGCAGCATGATGTAGAGGTGCTTGTCTTTATTTCTGGCACTGAGTGTGCATCTGTATCTGACAACTAGGCAGTGTAAACATCTGGCTCTGTCCAGTACTTGCTGCCTGCTGAGAGCCATGACAGATGGAAAGGCTGCATATGGCTCAAACGCTTCTTGGTTTCTTCCTAAAATAGCCTGCACTCCACTACCTTATATGTGCAGGCCACCAGCATGTGCCTGAGGAGGCATCATGTATCTAGGCCATACAATACAGCCTGCAGACTTATTGTTGCTGCCTACCAGCAGGCCTCTCACCACCACAGGGACAAGGCCTGTCTTTCTGTCTTGAGACAGCTTACCATGCATCTCACCCAGCTCAACCGTGAGTGTCTTCTTCACCTTTTCTCCTTCCTGGACAAGGACAGCCGGAAGAGTTTGTCCCTTACTTGTCACCATCTGCGTGAGGTCTTCCTGGAACCCTGCCTCTGGAATCTGCTCCACTTCACCTCCCCGTGCCAGCTGAGGAGGGACAACTTTGTGCTGGGATCCTCACTACGGTACCTGACAATTTGCTGGTATTCCAGCAGAGTCCTGCAAGTGTGCAACATTGAGGACTGGCTGAAGAGCTCGTTCCAGAAGGACATTTGCAGTAAACACGAGGCCCTGGTCAGTGCTTTCCTGGCCCATGTCTGCCACATGTAAGTGTTTATGTGCAGTTCTCCCCTGCTTTGTTGTGCATTTTGGAATAACAACTTGCAAAAGATTGTTTCTGATGGACCAACAGAGACTGGACAAACCACCAATAATAGATTTAAGGTTTGTGCCCCTTAAAGTGATGTCTGCTTGAGACCTAATGTAACTCATATCGACTAGTTCATCCAAAGAGTGATTTGCCTTGCTATATTTGAAGACATTTTAGAACTCATTTTACTCTATAATTCACAAGAAACAAGTCTGGAAAAATAAGCAACATATTGGTTATTGGTTCTCTCACAGCCTGTCTGACCCGTTGCCAGAGTCCAGAGCCTTAGAGTGACAACCACAAACCACAATCTCAAATATGATCATAGAGCTGAATTAACAACATTCTAACACATCCTCCATTAAAACTGAAAATTAGTGACTGATAAACTGCATTGTAAGGAGTTCCTGTGCTTTTGTCAGTCCCCATAGCTGCTTTTCATTGTTTTGTCTTAAGCATGAATGATCAAGAGTTTTGTCAGATGTGTCTAAGGAATAGTCACACAGTTGCTTTTTTTGCATCTAAATTGTTTCATTTAGATGCATATGGCTTAGTGAAACTGCCATGTTTAGCTATAGCCAGCATGAAATGAAATCATTAGAAACCGATGGCGTATCTGGAGCTGGCTATGGAGAGAGAAAATGTCACATCTGTAAGACACGAGACTGATTCTATGAACTAACATAACTGTGGTCAGATATCAAATTATATTTACTGAATGATATGACAGTTGGATTTGATAAGCCAGTGAAACATTGCTCTATTGGCTTTTGGCTTTGTGTCTGGATGGCTGCATGTATGAATCAGCCCAGAGAGGCGCAGTGAGGTCTCTGGATAATTTTCCTCAAGGCAGCCAGCAATAATGCTTGATGTGAAGGGGCCTGGCCACAGCAGCTGGCCAGGACAAGAAGAGGGGAGAGGGGCTGGCTCATTGGCTCGCTGTATGACCCTGTGAGGATTTCCTGTATTGTGAAATTAGAGACACAAGACAAAAGCTGTGAGACCAGGCAAAACTAGAACCACCTACTTTGTCTGGGTCCTGTATCTCAATGCCCATAAGGTACACTTACTGCATACTGATAACCCCTCCCACATAGTCTAAGGGAAGGAAAAGCAAGTGCACGTGACAAGGTGGGAGGGGACACAGTGAAGATGTGGGGGTGTTAAAGGCTGATTTGGCCACAGATCCTCCCAGTCAGCTGCAGCCTTGAGATTTACACAGGCAGGTGGAGCCTACAATTGGCTCTTTGTTGCTGTCAGAGGAACAAACATGTGCGTCTGTCTCTGCCTGCCTCCTCTCGGATAAGACTCCACGCAAATTCTGACGCCAAGCTAATGTCTGTCTTTTTTTTTTTATCATCTTGGAAAAACTATAAAATGTAGCATATCTTTGGGTGACTTCTCTAATGTCAGATGAATACAGTCAGTCTGTTATCAAGCCCTTATGTATTTGATTTTGATTATCTTGAGGTCACAGTATTAGAACTACATGAATGAACATGCTAAACATGCAATGTAGTATTGGTGGCACAGTAGCTGGCACTAGAAGCTTTGGCATCAGGCTTTTATAGTTCATAATAGAAATAGTTTCCCTCCAAAAGTTCATATGCACTATTTGTATAAACGGATGCATTTCTTATGAAACAAGCACAGGTACATTTTGGGTTACCATTTAAAGGTATGACTTCTGCAGTACAGTTTCAGCTGACAGCTTCTTTTTAAACTATCCACTACTGAATTTAGATAACAAAGGATTCCATAAATGTATGTAGCATATTTGAAAGAAACCCTTCCACTTGGCAAACCAAAGGAGCATAAAGTTAAATGTATGTCTTTGTTCCTTTTAGAGTTCACTGGATAAACCAAACAGGTCATTAGAGAGATGATTACAGGTTAGCAGTGTGGTGTTCTGCTTGTGCTCAGCTCAGGCCAGACTGCCCTCCATGCAGTTCATTTTAAGGTGAGCTACCTCATGTCTCAAACCTCAGTGGAAAGAAGACAGATAGATAGATAGATAGATAGATAGATAGATAGATATTTTACTGGTCTCAATTCACACACAAAATGAGGGAAGGTGTGCCACAATGGTGAATTATGTAACAAAGGTTGTTGAAGTTTTTATTTTCAATTCCTGTCATGTTTACCTCTATTCCATCATGTGCCACACCTTCTCTACTGAGACTAACTATAAGCATTAGAGGGCACTTGTCATTCCACTGCTCCAAGCACATCCTCCTTTCCTTCTCTGGTTAATGTCAATAATGTGCAATCCCATCAGCTGATAGAGCCTCACATTGCAAGCACCCCCACCCCCATGCAACACAACAGGGCACGTGGACTGACTGTGCTATCCCATGTTCCGAGGTTAATGGGACACCACCCTCAACACTTGCAGGCAACTGGAATATGTTTGGCTCACATGTGGTAAAATGGCAAGCTTATGTAAGTCTTTATGTAATCTGCATCAGTGAATGTGAATAACATTGCAGATCTGTTGCCATCAGAGTGTGTGTCTGCCAGCTCTGTACTGCTGGTCTGCCAGCAGTTTGCAGTGCACTGCTGATACTGATACTAGGAAGAAACATCCATGAGAAACATGCATTCACATGGCAACAATTCACATTAATTTTAGTACAAACTCTTGCAAAATGTAACATGAACAAATGTATTTTTGTCTTGCTGTAATTCATCAAACATTTTGTAATTGTTTTGGGTAATAGCAACAAACTCCATTTTGTCACAAAAGCTTGTTAAAGGATGGAAATATAAAAGACTTGTGGGACAGTGCAAAGAAAGCATAGTTTAGCATTAATCTGTCCTGTCATCTAACATGTTGCTGCCTGTGAGTGGTGGTGTTTACCTCTCATTCACATATGGTTCACAACAGGCCAGTGATCTGTATGTTGTCCTCTGTTATTTGATTCTATTCAAGATACATACCTGAGATGTATTGCTATAAAAATACGCACACACACCAAACAGTACTGCTTATTTAGACTAGTCCTTATCAAAACAAGCTGCACCCTCCCTATTATACTATATGTCTTAAAGTGTGATGATTAAGGATGACACAAGCTGTACTCTATGGTGTGCAAATAGATTAATGGTGTTACTGATTGCTGTCTGTGCCTCAGGTGTCCCAACCTGCGTTCCCTAACTCTGTCTGGCTGTGGACACATCACTGACCAGGATGTGATTTCTGTGCTGCAGAGCTGTAAGAAGCTGTGCTGTCTCCACCTGGAGAACTGTGTCCGCATCACAGACCGCAGTCTGGAAAGTGTGGTGGCTCATGGAGACAGTCTGGAGGAGGTGAAGGTGGACTTTTGCAGGAACATCTCTCAGGCAGGCCTGCAAGCTGTCAGAGACAAGAGGCCGGGCATTCAGCTGAGTGCAGAGAGGAGCGCTGATATGATTCCTGATAGCAAGCCTGAGGAGAGGGTGCTGGTCAGGAGGACGCTGCAGAAAGTCCTGCAGTTCTCCTGAGGGTTCGGGTTGCCTCTGCATCCTTTCACGTGAACCTAGATTAAAGGCTTTTTTTTTGTACATTTGGCCATAATTTAAGGACTTGCCTGCATTATTCTTTAGTTTTATTTGTATTTATATTTAATACAGCATCTTTTTATACAGCATGTGTTGAGTATGAGTCTTACTTACAAAGACATGCATTTTCTTAAGCTGCCTCCATTTCATGTTAATCTTTACAGTTTATGATTTCCTAAAAGTAGGGCTTTAAATTAAAGGGTAACACTTTTTAAAATTATTTTGCAAACATGCCCCCCTTCTTTGAGAAGGCGCCCCATTCTGGCTCCCCCATTCAAAAATTGCTATGCCTACTTTGCATTATCTTAACGAGGGAAAATTCTACCCCCAATCACAATAAAGTCACAAGCACAGGTAGATTTATCTTTAATTCTTCAGTCGACTTTAAAATGGTGTTAGTGACTTTATTCTCAAAGGAATTGTTTAAAATAATAGGAAATGAGCTTATTCACTTTCTTACTGAGGGTTAGATGAAAAGATTGATACCACACCAATGCAGAAAATATGGAGCTATGGACAGCAGCTGGTTAGCTCAGTTTAGCATAAATACTGGAAACAGGGAAATATGTAGTCTAGTTCCAAAGGCTAAAAATCACCTATAGTTCTCTATCTCGTTTTTTGTTTTGTCCATTTAAATAAATAAATAAGAGTAAAACAATATGACAATTTGCTGTTTTATGGGGTTTAAGTGCTGGACTATTTCTTGGGCAGGGGTAGTTGCCAGGCAACCAGCAAGAAATTACTGCTCCCGGCCAAGAAACTGTCCCGCTCTAAAACAACAAATGCTCTTTTTCTGATATAGTCTTTTCTATGGATGGCACGACTGAGCTATAATGTGTTAATTAGTGAGCTCTAGATGTTCAGAGTCAGTCAAGCTGTTCTCCTGTTTCCACTTTTCATGCTAAGTCGCACTAAGCGGTTGCTTTCTCCAGCTACTTAATTACCATAAAGATGTGAGTGGTATCAATTATCTCAACAAACTCCCAGCAAGAAAGCAAATACACATATTCTCTAGAATGTCAAAGTATTCATTTAATAGGATTTAATAGTTTGATTAAATAGCACACACACACACCTTACTTGACATGAGTAAACCAATTACACGGTACAAAAGAACAAAAGGCGTGTGGTTACACTGCATGTTGTCTCTGCCAGGGTAAGACATGTCAGCATTAAGGTTTCTCCGAGGGCAAAGCGGCCTTGTGCCTGAGCTGTGATTGGAGTCATGTTATAGAAGACTGTGAACCATATGGAAGTAGGGGAGTGCGTCTGTCTTTTAAATACTATGTGAAAAATTTCCTGCCCTATCACTGCATCTCTAAAGAATGACCATGTATTCACACAGAAGGTCAACTCAATGAAGAATAAGATTTTCATGAACAATGTACATTAATGTACCCACAGCACCCCATATTGACAGAAAAACACAGAATTTGACATTATTGCAGATTTATTAAAAAAGAAAAACTGAAATATCACATGGTCATAAGTATTCAGACCCTTTGCTCAGTATTTAGTAGAAGCACCCTTTGGAGCTAATACAGCCATGAGTCTTTTTGGGAATGATGCAACAAGTTTTTCACACCTGCATTTGGGGATCCTCTGCCATTCCTCCTTGCAGATCCTCTCCAGTTCTGTAAGGTTGGATGGTAAACGTTGGTGGACAGCCATTTTCAGGTCTCTCCAGAGATGCTCAATTGGGTTTAAGTCAGGGCTCTGGCTGGGCCATTCAAGAACAGTCACAGAGTTGTTGTAAAGCCACTCCTTCGTTATTTTAGCTGCGTGCTTAGGGTCATTGTCTTGTTGGAAGGTGAACCTTCGGCCCAGTCTGAGGTCCTGAGCACTCTGGAGAAGGTTTTCGTCCAGGATATCCCAGTACTTGGCCGCATTCATCCTTCCCTCGATTGCAACCAGTCGTCCTGTCCCTGCAGCTGAAAAACACCCCCATAGCATGATGACTGACAGCGCCGGCAGTGCAGAGACATGTATAGCCGGCAGAGGAGATGGGTGTGGACCTGGTGGCGGGCTGAATAGCAGGACCGATGAGGGGCTGACTGGCCGGG